AGACTATCAAGCTTCTTAGTCCCACCAGAGAAAGCCTCACGTTGAGAATTAGATTTTTCTAAATTACTCGTGAGGGTCTTAACCTTCTCTTTTATCCTCTCATTGATACATCTCAACTCATTCAGGGAACAGGTTGAGTCCTTAAGCTCACCAACAAGTCTCTCTTTCTCTTTCTCTAAGGAATCAAGCTTTTTCAGTAGGGCATGGTTGAGTTTCTTAATTTTAAGGCTCTCATCATATAACTCCTGGTACACAACCTAAAGATTATCCTCATCATCCGAAGCCTCATTACCGCTCTCAACCTCAGTCTTTTCACTAGCCTTATCAGATTGACTCTCTACTCGAGACACGACCATGTACTTCCCTATTTTCTCACACTCAGACTGCACACTCGGGTCACTCTCACTAGAGTCGTCATCAGATAGTGCGCAACTAAGGCTCTACCTCTATCCTTAGTCGAGCTCCTCTTGAGATTAGGACATTCATTCCTATAATGCCCAAACCACTTGCACTCATGACATCTAACCGACTGGAGCTTACTACTAGACCTTTTACCACCACCCAAATCACGATTTTCCTTCTGAAATTTCCTAAGGGGACTTCTCTGCCTAGGTTGTGGTTTTGGTATATTCCTCAAGGCCTTAAATTCTTTACGAAGTAGGCTATCTCCTCACCTTTAAGGGACTCTACATTACTAGACTCAGAATTTTCTTCCCTATGGGTGTTCAAGGTAATGGACTTCTATTTCTTGGGCTGAGTTAAGGACGATTCATAGGTTTGAATGGATCCTACGAGTTCTTCTATCTTAAGGGCGTCAAGGCCCTTAATCTCTTCAATTGTAGTTACCTTAGGTCTAAACCTCTCACGTATGGATCTAAGAACCTTACAAACGATTTTTGACTCGGTGATCCGTTCGGCTAAAATGATATTAGAGTTCACAATATCGTTTAGTTTAGTATAGAACTCATCAAACCTCTCATCATCGTTCATCCTAAGTTCTTCAAACCTAGAAATCAACATTTGTAATTTTGAGTTTTTCACAATTTTAGTGCCCTCATGGGTAGTCTCCAAAATATCTCAAACCTTCTTAACAGTCTTACACATAGACACTCTCCTAAATTTTTCAGGAGACACATCCATAAACAAAGCATGTAAACCTTTACTATTTCAACTACACTCATCGAAGTTAGTTTTAGTCTATAAAAAATATCAGTGAGTGTAACTACACCATCAGCAGTTGTTGAAGGTGGAGTCCACCTGTTTTGCACAGAGATCCATACACATTTATCCAAAGTCTTAAGAAAAGCTCTCATACGCATTTTCCAATATGCATAATTGCTGCCATCAAAATATGGAGGCACGGACAACGAACTACTCATCTAGACAATCAAAATATGGGCCAGGACACGAGATTAGGCTCTGATACCAATTGAGAAACGTGAAATTTAACCCAACTACACCTAGAGGGGATGATTAGGTGTAAATGCAGAATTATCAATCTAATTAACTAGCAGCATGTCACAAGTTAATTAT